AGTGTGAGGGAAAAATAAACAGTGTCTGCAGTAATGTATCTAGTAACTTGGTAAATTTAAGGGCTGCACGTGCAGAACTTTACAGCATAACCTTTTATTTTTCCTGTAAAATTGTGGCAGTCTGATTCCAGTATTTCCAAAAAGAGTGACAATGTTATGGAGGAAGCATCCCTGAAGTCCACTGTCTGCAAATTAATCCATTTTTTCCTCCATTATTATTTACAACCTAGGTCTCTCTCAAATAATTCTAGCAAGAAGCAGAGAGATGCAAGTTGTTTGGTTTAAAGCTTGTTGTCTTCTTATTTTTGTGCCTGTGATTTCCATAAAGGTGAAACAACCTAAATTAGTATTACGTGCTTCTCATGACTGTGTACGTATTAGCTACAATGAGAAAAGACCAACTTAAACAGCACTTTTCACTAATGGCACCTGAATTGGGCCCTGTTGTTGCCAGTGGCACAAACTCCCATTGGCTTCGTTAGCACTTGGACCAGATGCAAGGAGGAGAATGCGACTCTTACGCGGTGTAAAAGCAAACGAAGGGTTAGCTCTGTCGTGATGGATAGTAGAGATTCTTCTTATGCCTAGTAGAATATTACAACATTATTGTACAAAACCAGACTTTTTTTCCCTAAACAAGTGTGTTTTTCTCACTGTGTGAAATAGCAGATAATGAAACTGGCAACGGTGCTGTGGAGGGATCATGGTCCTGAAGGGCTGGAACCTTTCATTTTTTTCCAATTTGCCGTATGATTAAATGGGACAGGAGAGGTGCTGATAGGAGATGTTAAAATGGAAAGGGCTGTGGAAGAGGATGCCTAGGAAATAATTATCTGCACCCAAATTCTCTGCCTTTCAGAAGTACGAAATAGGTAGAAGACTAAAGTATGGACATAATCTTTTAAATTTGTGTAATTCCTAAACAGAGTAGATTTATGCGCAGTTATTCCTGCACTTGCATGCAGCAGAGCAGGGTAAGCAGTAATTTGGAGCATGTTTTTTTTTTTCATCTCAGACTAATTTTCTAAACATCTTTGAAAAAAACGAAACGTAATAGTATGTGGAAAGCTCTAAATTGACCTTTTATAATGGGGGAGAAAGATACCTGTTCCTATCTGAAGTTGTGTGAAAACTTTATTATGTAAGTGCGTAGTTGGAGTTTGAGGACTTCAGAAGGCAAGCTCTCTTTTTCTGATGTTTACTTTTTATTGACGTTTCTGTTCTCAGCAAGTAAGCAATATTCCGGCTAAGCCTCTGGAGTAAATCGAAGTCCTCTGTCTTAACATCTGTATAAATCTGTCAGAGCCTTAAAATGACACAGTGGCTGGTTTGATAAATACGTGACGGTTACTGCAGAAGGAGAAGGAACTTTTAAACCCAAACCTTTTCCTGAACTGCATCGTGATGAATGCATGTAGATGAAAGTTTGTTTTTTATCTTTATTGGGGTAATTGTGTTTAAGGTGTGGAGGGTCCTTCAGGGAGATGACTTAGTGCTGAAGCTGGGGTTTTGCGCTGTAGTCAGATGCAGTTAGGCTTGCATTGCCTCAGTGTAATCTCACCTTGGGGTGAAATCCTTTATGTTGCCTCTCAAAACCGCTGAGATCTGTTGCTTTTCCGCAGCTGCTCTGCAAGGCTCTTTGGCATGAGAATGTGCAGTGCATAAAGACTAACCCTCTAGGATGCCTTTCAGCCTCATTTCTTCAAAGACAGTGTCATGCAGTTCATCTTCCTTGTTTTGAAGGTCACCATTTAGATCAGTATGCGCTGATATCTCTGGCTGGTTATGGAGAAAAAAAAAACATGGGCTAACCCATGTTGCATTTTGTTTTGTTTCATTTTTATTAATTATTTGTCTTTTTGTCCATTGGACGACTTCTTTGGGGGCATTAGAGAAGAATGGGCAACCTCTGTATTTCGTGTGTCTCCTTGTTCTTGGTTTCAGCTGCATTTCCTCTAGGAAATTCAGCATCTTCCTACAGCAATATGTACAGAAATGCAACAACACCCCTGAAGCAGTGGGTGTGATTTATACTATCACTCTGAAAAGCACACTAATATACACACCATAAATTGATTACATTTCTGCACATCAGTAAGCAATACAAATTGTTGCTTGTTGAGTAAATACAACACACATGACTCCAAACTGGTATTAGATGTTAAAGCAGTAATGGAAATAGCTTTGGCTTAAGTTACTTTGATTATTGTTTTTGGTTGAATTGAAACAAACTCAATAAAACACAGTATTGTAAGGCATGTCTGTAAGCAGTAATTGAAGGTGCTAGTATCAAGTCTTTAAAATCCGCTTTGTGTAAATATCAAAAATCCTCCAGTTAAGATGACTTTTTATAGGTATTTGTGTCTGTGCCTGGAAAACAGTCTTGGGCTTTCCAGAATGCGAGTTACCAGAAAAACAGCAAGTGCTTCTCATTTGATGCCTCAGGGTCCTGCAGGTTGGATAGCTGTATTTCCCCCCTGTATTTTTCCTCATTTTAACATTGCCTCTCGTCACGGTTGACCATAGGGTGGCACTTCCACCACGGGGAAGCGTGACCAACTCGTATCTGGGAACATGTGACATGCAGTGACGGTGTCTCCCTTGGTCTAAGCAGGTGCCCCTTGGTTTTTGCCAAGAACCGTTGATTCTTTCTGCTGTCTTCTGCCTCGTCTGCAGATGAGTGGAATCAAGGGCTGTTTTCTTAGCAGCTGTGATAAAGCTGGTATCAAAGGCTGCCCTGTATTGTACACGTTCTGCCTCGTCTGCAGATGAGTGGAATTGAGGGCTGTTTTCTTAGCATAAAGCTGGTATCAAAGGCTGCCCTGGATTGTACATACTTGGATTTTATTACATGTGGTTGTGCTGTAGGCACATCTCACTTGCCTGCTGCCCCCCTGCTCTGTTCCCAGCTGCAAGGAATTGTTGGAACATGTTGGATACCTGGATCTGAGGGTCCTGGGAGTGCTTGCCGAATGGGAGGTGGAGCTGGTGTCTGGTTTTGCAGGCCCCATGCTGAGGTTGGGTATTTTAGCACCTGTGCAGAGTGCCTTCACCTAACCTTGCTTCCCAGCCCT